ATGACGCTGTTCTCCTATTAGGATTTTTGGTTTGTCAGGTATCAGTGTGCATAGACTAAAATGATTCAGATTAGGTTTTCTAGGAGGAGGCTCATGTCTTTTGCAAATTTCTTAAACATAATTGCAGCTGGTGCAAATATCTCTCTTTGCTTCTATCATTCTGGAAAACACTCAACAATCTGTTTAAGAAAGTTAAATCATCACACATTTAGTCGGTAGGTTTCCTAAGGAAGGATCTGGTGAGAGTTTTTGAGTAATAAAAGCACCAATCACTTGAATACAAATAAAATTTCATATCGCCTACAAAGGTACTTGTATAGTCAAATTAATAGAAAAGACATGTGTATATTTGTGTTTGTGAATTATATTGTCTGATAGGTAAGTGATTTTTCAAACTAATTTTATTCTCAGAATCCAGAGTTTGTGTTTGAGACCTTGGATCTCTCAGCTTTTCAGTGCAAAAATGAAAGGCTTGTTGCTTTTATGATAATTAAATATCAGCTCTCTCTTGGGCTTAACTGAGTCTGAAATAATTTTATGCATTATCCTATGCCAAACACCCTATTAAATATGTGCTAGCTGATTTCCCTCAACAGACTTCTTTTGGTGAAAATAGAAATCTTTCAAATACTGAAGTGTGTCACTTGCTTCCATTAAAGATCTTTTGATAGGCAGTTGCTTATATTACCTAATCAAGTATAAGTTATGATCATTGTTTTGCACAACATGGTAAATTTCTTCTATTTTGAGTGACAGCTAACAAAAATGACCGACGCCTATGTTGGGTCTTAGGACGACTGAGTGATTTTTTTTTTCCCAACAAGTGATCATGTGCAAAAAAAAAAAAAAAGCATGTAATATATGTTTCAATATCCCATGTAATAAATCCCATTAAGCCTGTGTTGGAAGCCACTAATTTTGAGAAGTTAGGGAATTTGTGTGTCTTTCTCACTGTCTATTTCCACTCAGTGTAGTCCATTTTCCTTTTGTTCCTTTCCATTCAGAAATATGAACATTTATAAAATTGTTAATGTCTAACAAGAATGAGTCAATAGCTGTCTATTTCAGGTGCCCCCAAGGAACTGAATATTTGTGGAATAAATAGCCTGTGACCATACACCCCCACCTCCTAGTGAGATTATATAATAAAAGGAATGCTGAAAGCCAGCTAAAGTTAGGAGATTTACTGGCAATAATTTCCTCTCAACTGATGAAATTGGTGATTTTGTTTTTAGAGGATCATTGTTGATTATTTACATCATTACTATTTCCATGTAATATTTTGGGAGGATTATTTTTCCCTAAGGAGAGAAAGGGCCAGTAAAATGCCTCCCACAAAGTTAATTCAAGGTGGAAGGGAATTAGCTACAGAATCCTGTGGGGTGGGGGGTGGGGTGGAGAATGTGTTTCGTGCATGCAAAGCTATTTTATAGCCCATTTTAGCCCTGATCAATAATATCTATCAACATGAGGGCCATGACATAATTTTCTGGGATTTTTCACTACCTCTGCAAATTCATACACTACAAGTCTAGCAAATACTCATGGCATATTAATGGGATTTTTTTTCCAAATCAAGACATCTTAATGTTTCAGTTTACAGGTAAATATGATAAATTGATAACACTTTGCCCCCAATCTTGACAAAGTAAAGAGCCAGACTTGGGGATGCCCAGACCTCTTCTGAGGTTACCCTTATTTAGTTGAAATTGGTAGGACGTAAATTCCAAAGCCATATTACTTGGCAATTGGTTCAGTTATTGACCAGAAGGAATACATTCAGTATATGAGTCCCTGAATACGTTATTGACTGTCCTTCTCATAATCAGTTTGCTGAGCTATTTGCTGGGATGACCTAGCTTTCAAGAAGCTATTGGTATTTTTAACCTGGTTAAAACCATAACCATATGGCAATCTGTATCATAAATGTTTCAGCATAAGTAATATTCAGTCTGTGTATCATTAGTTTGTCTTTGAAAACTTCATAATTATACTTTAGTTGAAAATTTCTGATTCTTTTCTTTTTACTAAAACCTCTTTTCAATCGTGTGTTGTGGAACTTCATAGCTTTAATTGCGTACTGACTTGAAGCAGAGAGGATTTTATTTAAAGGGTGCGAGACACCCTTTAAAGAAGGGTGGACACCCTGAAGTTTGGATACCCTGAAATGAAGTATTCTTAGCAGATGATGCTAGAAACAGGAAAAAAAGAGGATGAAATAAAATAATTATGTTAAGGGAGAGCTTAGTGATCCTCCCACACTGACCTGCAATATGCTGTGGTCAATATCTTTTCCTGTGTCCATAAAACTCATTAAATGGAAATTCTGTACACTAACTGAGCCATGCCATATTAGTGCTTGCCAAGGCTTGACATTTTTAATACATTAATAATATGTCTGTAATGGAATGGAAAACTATTAATCACAACTGGTTCTGTGCCAGAAATTTAAGCTGTAATTGGCTGCTTCTTGTCAAAGATGTCTCTCGCGCAGTCCTGCAACTAACCACCTAGTATTCAAATGTCTTACACTCCTCTGAGTTTTCCCTGTCAGTTGTCTAAATGTGATGCATATTGTAGTCCATAATTCTGCATAATGACCATTGTCAGAATTGTGGTGTACATTAGTGACAATTCGTTCCACAGGGATTGTCCTTGTGTCAAGAAACAGTACAGGGCACACACACATTTCTCGAGTCAAGAAACAGTACAGGGGTCACACACATTTCTCGAGTGTCCATATTCTTCACATAACAGAAGTAGGCTCACTCTGTATTTTGAAGTCCCTGTAAAAGGGAATTCCATGAGAACAGCACAACCAAGAGTAAGTGGATTTGGGGACTAATAATGGTTTAAACGAAAATATGAGTAATCTTAGGATCATTTAAACATATGCCAAAAATTGTATTTAAAAAAATAATATTACATGTTCACACACTGCTCAGCCTAAACTCAAAGCAGTTGACTACAAGTCCTTAAAATAACACTCACCTTAATAAGCACACTATTAGGTGATTGGAGGTAAGAATTGAAGCTAATAATCCCAATTTAGTGAGTATATTTTACTTATAGTTCCCCCTCCCTTCACGTTCCAGTGTTCCTTCCCTTTTACAATAATGTAGTAAACCTAGTTTTAAAAATGCATTTAAGAATGTACATTTATGCCATCTTAACACCTTTTCGGATTACTAATCGTCAATGTGTTGGATGTTTCTGAAAATATCAGCTTAAAATTACTAATAGGTTTCAATTTTGAAAAGAGCAGAAGGCTGTAGTAGCCTTAACACATGCTTGTCTATGATGTTTTTATTTGCTTTTTTTGGAGCTTAAGATTGCAAAATGTGCTCACCACAGTATAGTCTTGAAGTTACAAGAAAGAAGCAGATTTAGATCTGTAGCTTATATATGTTTAGACACACTGCTAATTATTGCTTCATAGGAACTCAAATATTCACCACTTTTCCTAATAGAAAGTATCACAAATTGCAGCTGTATGATAACATTTTATGAATTGAATATAATGGAAATTGCACTTGCATCCATAAAGCAATTATTATAAATTACTTTGCTATGGAAACAAAATTCAACCATCTGTTGGCATTTCATAGTCTCCGTGGCTGAGTTCATTTTAAGATGGTGCATTATTTAAATATAGTGAATTCCCTTTAGAAGATTGTTTGAAGATAGTGACCTTCCTTATGGAAACTGGTTAATATGAATTGAAAGGTCTGTAATGGAATTTTCCAAAGCTCTCTGTGTGGGGTGTGGGGTGTGTGTGTGTGTGTGTGTGTGTGTGTGTGTGTGCGTGTGTGCGTGTATGTGTGTGTGCATGTGAGTGCATGTGTGTTCTTTTGAAATCCTTTAAAATGGATTTAATAAAAAATAGAATGGATTGATAGATTGAACTAGGAATATGAACTATGAAATTAAGAAAATCCACTTTGTTGGCACTAGAATTTCAAATGTTAGCATTTGTTTAGTTCTCAATAGTGCTCTTTAAAAAGAGAAGCTGCCAGTGAAATTCACCAATGACCTGTATGTGTAGGTTCAGAGACTACATTATGGTTTACCAAAAGTACTTTTAAATGGTAATTTTTTATTTTCTCGTAGAATTAGTGCCATGTTATTCTGCTTCATGGCCTGTTAATTCACCCTCAGCTACTTTTATATGTGCATTTTAAATTGTGCGTTTTACTACCAAGCTTTTACTTTTAAAGCGATGTATAATATTCACCTTTGGGACAAATTCTCTCCTGTTAGAACGTAACTACCAATGCAGATGTAATGACTATAAAAAGATATAAGAAAACAAAATTCCTAGGAAAGGAACATTTGCACTTTTGGTTTGATTTCTGAATTTTTTTTGTTTGTTTCAGAGAGACAAGTTATCTGTATCAGTAAATGCAACTGAACAAAAGATGTGAAAATTCTTGCAATATAATGAAGCAATCTCAAGAGATAAGCACACCAGCCATGGTAGTTTTCATTCCAGACAACAAAAGCTGAGACATGTATAAGAAATTAGGAGATTTTTTTTTAAGGGTCTCTTTGCCAAGTGGGAAAAAAGGCATGCAAGTAGTTGTCATTCCTTTGTCATTTGTTACAAAAGCACTCACTTGGTCCCATTGTTCTCTTGGAAGACTGTCTAGCCTTGCAGTATATGAGAAGTGTTTGAATCCAACAGCTTGCTCTCCATTTAGTTAAGATGGAAATATGAGTTTTGAAGCAAAACCTTGTTATTCACCTGGAACCCATACATCTGTCTTTGTTATGGAAGAGTTAAATCCTGCATATCAAAATTCTCCCCCACATGAATCATTCACCTGCTTTGCTCATCCTAGCAAAACAGCAAAGTAAAGGTTATTCATATGACACCAATTTGCTTGCTATTGCCTCAAACCTCCCAAATGTCAACATATCAGAGATTTCATAAAGCATTGATTGATTCTCAGACAGTAACTCTTATTCTTATTGTTTCTCAAAGGATGTGGGTGCCGGAAGACAAGAATGATTGATGGGAAACAGACACTGGACGGGGGACACGCATCCTTCTGCTTCGGATGCTGACATCTCAACACATCTGAGCAGCCCTCGGGAGCCCGCAACACTGGGAACCACTCAGGGTTATTGGATGTACAACAGGAAAGCCAACCCACGGCTAAATTATCACCTGTTACTGGACATCTCTTCCAAAAACCAAACTAGACCTGAATCTGATAGATATGTGCTCCAAGGACGAAGAAGCTGCAAGTTGTTAACACTTAACACATAAGCATGTTAAACTTCTGCCAAAGTCAATACACCTGAACGCACACCGTATCTTCACAGATCACATTTTGTTTTGCAACCCGCTTTGAGGTTTTCCCTCTGTTTTATATGTACATATAAATAATACATACATATATATAAAGACTTATCTCCAAAAACACACACGCACAGAGATACCTGCGTATGTAAAATAGACACTGATTACAAATAAGACACAAAGATTGCCAAGAATTTAGAGATGTATTTGTCAAGATTCCTGTCGATCCATGCCCTTTGGGTTACAGTGTCGTCAGTGATGCAGCCCTACCCTTTGGTGTGGGGACATTATGATGTGTGCAAGACTCAGATTTACACAGAAGAAGGGAAAGTATGGGATTACATGGCCTGTCAGCCGGAATCCACGGACATGACAAAGTATCTGAAAGTGAAACTCGATCCTCCGGATATTACCTGTGGAGATCCTCCTGAGTCCTTCTGTGCAATGGTGAGATGCAGCTTTTGAGTTAAACATTTCAGATAAATGCGGCTGAATCACATAGGCAAACAAAGGTGGTGAGTGTGAAGACTTTACCCCTGCTGAGCTGAGACTACAGGTGGCGATGCATGGTCACAGGCTAGCTTGGCTCGAGGTAGAATTGCAATGTGCACAGTATGAACGCTGCCTTAGAACTTCCTTCTCCCCCCCCCCATAGGTCAGGGTGTCACTGGGGCAGGGGTAGTGTGTATGTATTACTAAATGAAAAGTCCAATGGAAGATTCAAGTTCTAAGCAGTGGTTGGGGTATATGATTAAGTGAGATGTATTATAATTTTAAAACAAGAACCTATTGGCAAGGCAGCTTTAAAGGGTAAAGGTTTTTTTCTTCTACATGGATAAGGCCAGACCCAGACTGAATATTTCAGGATTAGGTTGATCTCAACAGCTGTGAGCAAATCAGGCAGTTGTGGTGACTTGGAAGTCTCTGGTTGAGACCAGAAGGAAGAAGGATTAAAGGCTCTTGAGAAACTTCTCCAGGAAAATCTAGTTTGCCCAACTCATGCTGCCCCTTATTATTTAAAAAAAAAAAATCACAGCTTTCTGTGGGTATTTTAATCAGATGGTAGGTTGAAAGTGTATGTATTGGGAAGTAATGACCCAAGATAAACAAAAAATTCAGATCCTTTCCTTTTAGTAAGCAATGTTAGAGCATTTGTTATTTTTGTGATGTACCTAAGTCTTTTCCTGGGTGAAAAATTATATACCAAGGGAGGAGGAATCATTGGAGTAGCATGGTGAATTGCTTCTAAAGACATAGCTCAAAACAAGCTGATGGCCTATTGAGAAAGAGACTGGAGAGTTAAAAGGTGCTGGCGAGTCTGCTAAAGAGTCAGTGTGCTCATTTGGTTTATGTTATTGTTATTTTATTATTATTATTATTATTATTGGTGGTGGTGGTATTTATTTGGTACAAGCACTGCAATCCTATCCTTCTCCATAAAATAGATATAATCGTGTGGCAGGTTTTAATGGTATTCTTCTCTGCCTTTATTGTCTTGAAACTGGCCTGGTATTTTCAAGATAGTGAAACTATTAATCAAAGTAGCATCTGCTTATATTCTCCAGTGAGTTAAATTAGCATAAGACCATCTTAGACGGAGCCCTATAGGAAAGGTTTTGTAAGGAGAAACAATTGTGAGCAATAATGAATATTTTCACCTAAAAAGCTCAGAGCTTGCCATTTTTCAGAGGTGCCATTGGGGACTGGTTTGAATTATAGTCTACACCTGACTTTTGTGGAGAGGGAGATGAAGAAGTTGTCTATGAGGTGCCACTGTAAGAAAAGTGCTGTGAAAAACTAAATATTTCAAGGAGAGGAGCCTCTCTCTGAGAAACAGGTATGTACTTCACATTTTAGAAACTACAGGCTTCTGGAAGGAACTTCTCAAACATGTGAAGAAAACTGTAATAAATCTATAAAGGAAGGATATTTGTTGGCTTTGTAATAAGTTCTCCTGAAAGGTCAGATTTAAAACCTCATTAGAAATCAGGGGTGAAAATTGCTCTTCGGGGGATAGGATATGCAGAGGCCAAGTTCTTGGCCAAATCTTCATGTTATTAAGGGCACTGGAGCTCTATAGATTGCTTTCCACGACACTTGGAATAGCGCGCTTCATTGGAATTGTTTAATAATTTACAGATCAAAGTAAAATAGCAAATCTCCATTTTTCTGAGTGGTATGGGTCCTAAGTGGTATGGTCTCAGTGTGATTTGTATGTGCGGTGTCCCTGGAACTCAGCCTCGGGCTGGAGAATAGGAGTTCCGCTCTCGTCCATCTTGTTAAAAGGGTTCACTTGGCATGGCGCCTACAGGGTGTTTCTTTCTCCTATCCTAAGCAGCCCAGGGTCATGTTGCCAAATAGCTCAATGCCTGCCTTTCACAGGGATGTAATCTAAGATCCAACAAGCCATCTCTGACCAATCTACTGCCTAAGTGATGTCGTCAAATAAGAAACATAAAATTAACATGCTATTTTTTCAGCCTGACTCCAGGGCCATAGTATGTATACTTGATCACAGGACAGCCTTTCTTGAATTCATTAAAAAATTTTCCTTTATTTTTAATTTTCCACCATTTTCTTTGTTATCTTTTAAGTAGTTGTAGTTGTACAGAGGGGTTTCCACTGATCATGTCAGTTTATAAGGACCATTACTCTCCCTGTGTGTCTTTTAAAAAGCCTGCAACAGGCTATGATGCAGGAATTCGGAAGACTTTAGTGGCTTTAGACGTCATCAGGCGAGTATCAGGTTGTGAGATACTATGTATCAGTCTTTAATTTGGATTCCTTAAAATGTATATGATTGGCATGACAGATTTAATCACCTCTCTTTTAAATGTATACTTTGCAATTATTTGTAAGCATATTATGAGCCAAGTCAATGATAATGGCCTAATTTAGCAACACTTTCTCCCTGCAGTTTTGGATTTTCCATAAAACTCCTCAGCATAAGGGTTCCTGACACTAGGCTGTAAAACTGTCTTGGGATGCTAGCATATCAGGTGCTCCTTAGCCCAAGGTCTAATGGAGATCCATAAAGTCATTTTGCTATGACTTACACATCCGTTCCTGCTCCCTCGAAGTCATTATGGCCTATTACATCAGGGGAGCTGCCAATTAAGCACACTTGCTACATAGCTCCTATATGTAAATGCTTTCTGCATTGGGTCTCACTAACTCAGCTAGCGAGACCCTGATTAACCATGACCGTAGGGATTATGACCACCTAGAAGACATTGGATCATGGAAATATCCTGCAATTCCCAGAGCTGAATTATCTAATAGAAAGTTGAAGCGCAGTGGCATTGGGTTAACAAGCCAGGGATGTTGCCTTTATTTGAATATAGACTGAAAGGTGAGGAGAGGAAAAGGATCAAATGATTCCATTGAATAATAGAACTCTGAATATCGTATTTAGTAGATATTTGATGTTAAGTAGTATACAATTGTTTTTATAGTAATCATACAAGCATTTATAAACATTAGTTTAGGGCTAATTTTGCCATCTGTACTTAAAATACCAGGGTAGGGACAATATAAAAACATGTCCATACATATCTGAACTGTCTACATTGGAAACTATATTTTTTTCTTAATTAAATGCATCCATTTGCATTGATAATGGCTAAAACAATTACTTTTTTATTAAGGGGAAAGGACCTATAGAATCAGGTAGAACTAACCACTTGTGGTTTTTAGGCTGGAATAATGTATTTCTGTAGCTCCTATCCTTCAATCGCATGACAAGATTCAGCTAGCACAGCATTATTGTCAGGAAGTACAGGTCATCAAGAGACAATGATTTGTTTCAATCTACATGAAGAGCAGACCAGATGATCTGAACCCTTGTGTAATGCTCAAGTGACAGAACAAAGCAATCACTTGTTCGTGTTTAGACAAACTTAGTTGTCATTTCTCTGTGCAATATACCCCAGTAGCTTCAACATGGCAAGATTAACTGCAGTTACCTCTAGCCTGAAGCTAATTTTTCAGGACACCTTGCACAGAAACTTCAAGAAAGATGCCTTAAGACAGAAGTCATGTGCATTTGTACAATTTATGGAGCAGAAATGCTGGTGACTGGGGGAATGGAAGTCTTTGGTGTTGCCATGGATTTCAGAGCCAATCACAACTAAATCAGGAAACAAAGAATATTAAAAAGTCTTTTGTGCATATAATTTTGGCATAATGTTATGAGGCAGGCCTTCCAAATTTCCCTTGGAGACTTCCGGCCTCATTAATGCAGCATACCTTTAATTACAAGTAGACTCATATTACTAAAACAAAAAAAGTGGAGAAAATAAAAGTACTCTAAGGTGTACTTAGCCACACTCTCATTATATTTACTGAAATAATTAAAAGAAAGGGTATAATTTTTCTAAATAGAATGTCCAAATTTGAAATGCAAATGGATTTTCTTTGGGAAATTTATTCATGTGTGCTTAGATGCTTGATAGGCAGTTATTCAACTACCTTAGCAGATCTATTAATGATCATTTCCTATTGTGCTATTTCTAGATAGACTCCTATTAAGAAAAATTATGGAATGAGTGCAAGCAATGTGGATAGAGCATATCGCATTCAGTTTGAATGGAATGATGAAAGTTGTAAAAAACCTTTGACTTTTATAATTTCAGAGGAACCTATGGGGCAGGCAGATAGGACTTCCAATCTCAGGGCTATCTATGACTTCAATTTCTTAGCTCGCACCATCTCAGCTTGCCATTTGGTGGTTCTCAGGTGCCCTCCAAGAAATTAATTTGATAAACTCAATTACATTTTCAATGACAAGGGATTAATATCAATTTCCCCAAACTGGAAATGACATTGACTTATAAAATAATTGGATAATCTTAAAAATACACTGTTCACCTGAAACATAATTCAGTAAATGAATGAAGTGTTAATAACAGTAGCATATTGCAATTGAACTGACTTATTCCTTAATTATGCAGAATGTTTTTTTAAACCTGTTCTTTTATGTTAATACTTCATGGTCATTAGTTCATTATTTAGACTTATTTTCTTAGAAAGAAGGTGAATTCACGTTTGTCATGAATCGAGTTTCACAGAAATCAATCTTTCTGACTGATCACATGATCAAGTAAATCCTTGTTGATGAGTTTACAGAGCTCTTTTGTATCTGTGACATCAGGTTGAAAGTGATCTGCTTGCTTTTGCAATCTGGGAGCATGCAGGCTTATTTCCTAGTGCTTCCCATTAGGACCTGCAGACATCTCCAGGAAACTTAGGAGAGCAATCTGATTAGAAGAAGCTGCTGGATTTGGATTAAAGTTGCATGGTTTTGTCAGGTGCTTGTGTCTCACACCTGTTTCCTAGCTATGCAGAAGGCTGAGATCTGAGGATCACAGGTCAATGTCAACCCAGGCAGGAAAGTCTGTGAGACCATAATCTCCATTTAACCAGGAAAAAGCTGGAAATGGAGGCAT